GGGAAATAGGGTCTATGGCTACTCTCTTGCCATTTTTGAGGAGCAACCTGGCAGGTGAATTTCTTCTCCAGTCTGATAGCAGAGACCAGGCTTCCTTTTGCCCCTTCTGGGACTTTACGTAAAGGAAGGCTCAGTGGAAACACTGAGCCACCGGCTCAGGCACAAAGCCTGATTTTGTGCATGTTAGCCCCAGCAGTTTAGTTTCAGAGCCATCAGACCAGCACTTGCACTATCACTGTGAAGACAAAAGAGCAAATAGTCTGGTACTCTGAATTTGCAGTGTACCCAGATAATGGTTTAATCAAACTGGCTGTGTGTGTGAATATGTGTGTGTGTGTATATATATATACACACATGTATGTTTTAAGGTTATTACCCCATTTACTATGTTAAAGGGCCAAAAAACAAAGTCATACCAATCATATTCCTTCTTAGAAAGTTACTTTTAGAGGAATACTCTAGTAATCTACATATAAACAAGTTGAAGTGTTATGACAGAATATATTTTTTATACAGCCTTCAAAATTTAATAGTTTTCTGATTTAAGTTTGTATTTATTCTCTCTATATGTACACATAAAAATAATGTTTCTTGCCACTCTACCTCATGAGCACTTGTAAACAGTGAGGTTATCCTTCCTATGTGCTGGCATCCGCTTCGTTATCTGGCAACAAGACAAAACAGATAACCAGCAGAGCATTTTCATCATGCTGTCACTTCATTGTGTTTCCTACTTTGTTTTTCTGTTTGCTATGCTCTTGTACTCTGAGACAGAAATGAAATTGTGCTAAGATCAGGGAAAAGTGTCCAGCCCAAGTGCCTGGGCTGTACCCATGATAGGCTTGCTTGCAGAGGGCCCACACACTTGGCAAATGTGGCAAGTGATGAGTATAAGCCAAAGATAGAATCATAGAGTGATTTGGTTTGGAAGGGACCTTAAAGCTCATCTACTTCCAACTCCCTTGCCATGGGCAGATATACCTCCCACTAGACCAGGTTGCTCAAAGCTGCATCCAGCCTGGCTTTGAACTCTTCCAGAGATGGGGCATCCACAACTTCTCTGAAGTTCAGGCTTTGAATGTACTGCACCAGTGCTTGAGATCTGTGCTCAGAGTCAAATCAGAAGATCCCCTGCTTTGAAACTGAATATTTTCTATTTTTTGTGTAGCACTGCAGGGAAAAGAAGGATCCTTTTAGACCTTGTCCTGGAGAACAACCTACAGTGTCAGGAATTAATCTCCAAAATGCCACCTAAAACTTGAAGAGGTTTAGATTCAACTAATCAATTCTGGACAATCTCTGCAATAGTCAATTATTTTGCTTCTCCCTCTCTCCCCCCTCCATGCTATGTCAAATAAATATTGCTGCCCAGAGCTATTAGGGGAATGAATAGAGCCAATGGATCAAAAAACAAATTTTGTATTCCAATGTGATTTCTGTTTTGACTTAGATCTTCCACCACCTTCAACAAGAGAGAGACCTCCTGGGTGTAAAACAGTGTTTGTTGGAGGATTACCAGAAAACGCAACAGAGGAAATTATTCAGGAAGTCTTTGAGCAGTGTGGAGATATAACAGCAATTCGGAAAAGCAAGAAGAATTTTTGTCACATTCGTTTTGCAGAGGAGTTCATGGTTGATAAAGCCATTTACCTTTCTGGTACTTCACATTCTTTAATGGATTTTCCTTGCTTCTTATTTGTATGTTATGATGCTAATGTTTGCTTATTTTCTTAGCTTTTATCTCAGCAAGTCTTTCTTGAGCTCAGTGGCTGTAGCTTGGAGTGGCAAGGGGCAATTCTGTATTTCTCTATGTCTGCCAAGACTTGCGTGTGGTTTTGTATGTTGCTTACCCAGAAGCAATTTCCTGCCATCCCACAACAATGCAGCAGATCCTGACGTTTACTACAGAACAATCATATTTTCGATTTACACAGATTTATATAGTTTTGCTCACAGGTTGTGGAAATAGGAGGGCAGTAGGCCAGGAACGCTGCTGTTTTCCAGTGCCAATTTCTGTGATAGGCTGGCAATTTCACTGGCATATTTTTATAGATTTGGAGTGCAGTCTGAATAAAGTCTGCCTGTGTGCATGCATGTATTCCCCTACTGCATGGGTTAGATTCTGAGCCCCATGTTTAGGCTACATCTGTTGCCTCCCAGGATGATGAGTGCCACAGAAACTCAGTCATAAAAAAACCCCAAACAAACAAACAAACAAAAAACACCACAAAAAAACCACCAACCTCTAACTCACAAGGAAAAAATAAGTAAAGAAAGAAGATTGGCTTCCTAACTGAGCCCTTCTTCACCTTTCTGAGGTGGATCCCATCCCCTGTACATGTTTGTCTCCACAGGCTGGTTCATCTTTCTGGATCCTGGGAAGACCTGCAAATGTTGTTCTGTCCCACAAGTGTAGTGTAACACTTTCACCCCACATGCAAGGTATTCTTAAATAAGCAAGGGCCAGGAACTGCTCCTTGGCCAAGAAAAAGACTCGCTTACAGCCACCCACCCTGTGTAGGGTGACCTTGAAGGGACACACTGGAACCATCCAAAATGGAGTTTGGGAGGCAGTTGATGCTTAGAAAATCCTTATTCGAGCTTCCACCCTGACCATCTTCTGTCTAGCAGTAAGGACGTAACCTCAATGTCTTGTAAGTGTACATAGGAAGCTCACACAGCTAGAAACAAGTGGCCTCTCAAATCACTATCAACCAACTACATTTTAAGATGAAAGAAAGAAAGAAAAGAAAACATCTGAACTTTGGAAATACAGGAAAAACTGAACTCCTTTGTTTCACAAAAGCTTTTGCGTTTGGGTTTGTGGGGCTTTTTTTCCTAACTTGGCTGCTTGCTCTAAATATCTCTTTGAAGAACTGCAGAAAATTGTGAGTTTTATGAGGTTTATATAGAGAGTTCTTCGAGATATTGCTGTATTTTCAGATTTCTCCTAGATCTTCATTCTACTCTGTTTATTTCTTCCTTTTTTTTTTAAATTTTCACTTCATTTCTTCTTCCCTCCTCATTCTCTCTTCCCAGTTCCTATCCTTCCTGTTTATTTGTTTATTCACATTACTTTCATAACGCTGTAGTTCACTGGGACAGATTACAGGAATTGCAGTAATAAGAAGCAGGAGCACATTTCCCGGCTTCCAACTTCTGTTTAACGGGCCCCATCTCCAGATGAGATGAAGAGGCACAGATTAAGTAGGACCAGATTGAGTAGGATCTGGTATTACTGTAGTGATAAACAAAACAGTGGCAAAAAACAGAGCAAGGAAAAGCTCAGAAACCTACAGGCTGCCACTCTAAGCCAGAGCCATTGTCCCTCTAGCTCAGTTTCCTGCTTCTTGGCAGTTGACTTTGCTTCACTCCAAGTCAAGTTTTATTTTACTTTTATATGCCTTAAATCCTGGAGGACCAGATTTGATGATTAGAGGTAGGAAATTCCCTGTGCTGCCATCTGTCGTCCTTCATAACACACTAGAGTTTGCATTCAGAATAAGGGAAATGAGCAGAAATGGAGGTGGCAGATTCCCTTTCTTGTCCTTCCTCATCCTGAATTTTCTGCCAATTAATTTCCAAGTTCTTGATCCATCCTTCCTTCTTCCATTTCCTTTCATCACAGTTGCACTGCTCTCTATGGCTCCTCTTACCGTCTGCTCTGCAGCTTCCCTCCCCATCTGCCTTTTCCTCCACACCTTCTCTTTATTCTAAAGTGTTGTACTTAGTGTCTCTGACCAGTGGAGCTGACAGCGAAGAGGAAGAAAAGCAGGGGCACACTGCAGCCAAGTTTCACATCTTTTTACCACCAGCGCTGAACTCTGCAGATGAAACTGACTGTCCCCCACCACTGCAGAGCAGGGAGGTCTGGCCCTAGGCAGGGCCATGTTTTATTTGTGCTGAAATACAGGGTGGGTTTAGTCAGTCTTTGTACCATTCTCAGACATAATGTATTCTGAAGTGATGGGGATAAAGCATATTGTTAAAGCATTCTCTTTTCCCTGTAAAAGACAAGAGATGTACAAACAGCATTTGTGGTTAATACAGTATGTATGTTATATTAAGGGAAAGTCCTGCCTTTGATATCTGTAATATAATGATAATTTTGTCTATCTAATCAGTTTTATCTGTCTACCCCATCTAATCTCATCAAACTTTGTATTTATCCTGTGCTTATCATCAGAATAGTGCAAGTGATTTACAAAATTCACCAGGAGACTGGGACATGGGTAGAAGACTATGATAAAAACTTTGATTTGAGGAAGGGCAGATTTCATTTAGCCCTGAAAGTTAAATTTTGATCTCCTGAGGAAAAGACTTTCTAAAATTGACATACCAGCCCATGAGAAGGCTCTTTGTCCAAACTGTATGTATTTTACTCTTGTGGCTGACAATTCAGTAGCTCCTGGAAATATTGATGGCCCTGGACTTGAAAATAGGGGACAAACAAGTGTCTTGAGACAGACCTGTTTATACCCCAAAAGCCTGTGTATGCATTTTTCTTGTGCTGGTATTTTCCCCTCTGGGTTTCCACGTAGTACCATGTACTTGTTTTATTTTGTTCTCACTGATCGTCATCAACACTCTGATCTAGATCCCCAGTTAGAGAGCAGGTATTGACCAGTCCCCAATCTAGCAACACTCAAAGGTAAGTCAAGCCACAGAGTTTTGACTAGACCTGTGATATGGAAATACTGTGTTTGATTTTTTTTCTTGTTGCTGCTCCTTTAAAGTGAGGATCTTGGCAAGTTCCCAAAGTCTTTTCCTCTGCCATTGTGTACAAAACTGAAATTAAAAATGACAAGCCAGGCACACAGTTGACGCTAGCTGCAGTCCTGAGCAAAGAGACGGGGAAAAGGGTCTGTGAGGGCAGTTCATTGCCCACGCATGAAGGGGAGGCAATGACAGGTGGTTCTCTCATACATTTAGATACCCTCAAACATCAATAAGGAGACATGGTATTGGAAAAGAGCAAGCCTCCCAGCTGCCCCACAGCTCAAAATTGCCAACCCAGATGGATGCCTGAGGATCTCATATAGAAAATACTACCTGCCAGTTGTGCACCCCTTGCTACACAGCATCTTGCTGGCTGTCAGCCCATCAAGGAGTCTGTTCTTTACTAGCCAGGCCTTTCGTCCTATATTTTTACTAAGGGAAAGATGCCAAGCCCTGAGCAACCTGATCTGACTTCGAAGTAGACCCTGCTGAGGGGTCTCTGAGAGGGAGATCGGACTGAGTGATGACCAAGGTCCCTTCTGACCCAAGTTATTATGTGTTTGTGTGCTGGTGGAAACTACCTGGTTGGCTGACCACCTTCAGCCTTAAGAGTTAAACAAGCAGTCAGATTTTTTCAGTATGATTCATGGGCAATTTCAAGAATCTGTTAATTCTGAGGCACTTAAAAGGTTAGCTAAATTTGTCCAGTGCTACACAGGGTAATGGGTTTAGAACTCCAGTTTACACTCTTTAGTGGTAGGTTTCTTTCCATTATTCCCATTTACTTCAAAGATGAGGGCCAATTTGATAAAATTCAACTTTGCTGGTACACACATAACCTGTAGATGCACAGTCCATTTCATTAGATCTTTATTCAGATTAAGCGGAGCTTTGAGGTCCACAAAAGTCTTGCATCCTGCAGTGTTCCTTGCTGTGTCTATACCAGTGTGCTCCTGCCAGCAGAGGCAAAAGAGCTGGGGAGAGGAAGAGAGATTGTGTCTTCCTGGAAAGTTCAGCCCAGCTGGAAGATCTAATTGTAGGTTCACGAGACCTGGCACCTTGGCAGTGTCCTTTCACTTTGCTGATAATACTGTTTTGGCACAGAGCAATCACTGTTTGAGGAATGCGGCTGGCGAGTCAAACTGTCAGGGAGGAGGTAACATTTGTCACCCTCCAACAACTGTTATCAGGGTAGCTGTACTACTGACCCCTTTTGGCTGACCGCTTTGTGCCTACACCTCTGTGGATAAAACTACATAATTACCCCTTATTAGTTTAGGGCCCAGCTTTGAAAGGTCACCCACACTCTTCTTCTATTATGTCTCACTAAATGTGGTGTATCTGCAACTCTTCCTTTCAACACCTTGTGACTAGAGCTAAGTATATGACCACAAACAGACTTCTGAGGGGAAAATCAGTGTTTACTCCTCCAGGCAAAAGAAAACAGAGCAAAATAAAGGGGGCTTTAAAATAACAAACAATATTTGCCCCTATTGCAGTATTCATTCTGCTTCATCCCAAGCTTATGAACTTTGGAGACCAGATTTCGTAGGTGCCATGGAAGTTTTTGATGCCTTCTGGCTTTGAAGGACCTCTGAAACCCTTAGGTCGAGATTTTCATCTGGATTTGGGCTCACTGCTGAAAAATGAAAGTCATAGCTCTTCCATACTAACAGGCTACTTAGATGAACTCCACAAGATGTTTGAAAGGAAGATGTCAAATCAGAAGGCACCTACATTGTATTTTTTTTGAAGGATCACTACGTATATAAATATTCAATGTCTGAAGTTATTGTCTCCTATGTGCTGTAGTACAGACAGTCTCTTGTATTCATACAGCAGGATGTTTTTCCAGCAGTAAAATAAACAGAGTATGCCTAGATATGCATCTTTTTACAAAGATGCTCCTAATCTACTACACAAGTCTTAGCTTTGCTGTTCCTGGAGAGAGTTCAAAACTGAGTTTTAACTGTGGTAGTTAGGTGCTGAAGCTCTTCAGACCACAGGGAAACCAAAAGACTGAAAGGTTGGTTCCCTTGGATTGCTGTTCAGAAGCAGATAACACTGTTTTTCCTGCCACTTTGAGCAGGAGTTTCCTGTCCCTGGAGTTATTACGCAGTGGTTGTAGTAGTGTGTTTCTGAAGAGCCTCTTACATGCCAGCTCAGCACAGAATTCATCTCTGCAGCATCCCATGATTTGAGAAGTCTCTGCTGGGCTGCTCTGCTTCTGAGACTACTGCAGTGTGTTGGCTTTGAGAAATTAGAGTTAGCCTTGTGCAGAGTGATTAATTTTACCTATATCTGAAGGGTCTGTTTGCAGTTTTCTACATAGTGTTTTCTCAGACTTTCTCTAAATTGGCATTTTAAAAGTTAGAGAAACTGAGAGTATCTTTCAGCCTTGGGAATAAAACTTGAAAAAAGATAGCCGTCCAGCATATGTTCTTCCACATTATGGTCACGAAAAGCTCCTTCTATGGCTTTGGCATGATTTGTTTGTCCTCTGTTAAAAGTCAAAGGCTTTAGTTCAGAGCAGGGCCCTGTTATACTGCTGGCCTTCACAGTCTGCTAGTTTTGGCATATGATACATTGACCAAATTACTGATATGTAGAACATCACTAAAGATAAGGCACAACAGGTTTCATTATTTGTTCTGAAAGGGGCCTTGCAAATGTCAAATGAATTAGTCAGCAATTTAGAAGTAGCTTTAAGAATGGTAAACTCAGTTCATTTGTAGGTGGTTTATATTTGGTACCAGATTGTTTCCCTCTTCATGGTACAGGAATTTATGTAGCACAATTTTCTCATTCATCTGTAGTCATGATTTTTATAAAATTCAGCCTCTCCCCATACTTCCAATCCCTTTGGCAGGCTGGAGAAAAGTACTAAACTGCATCTGATCTCAATAAGATCAAGGTAAGAAGGACTCTACATTCAGACCAAACCAGCTCCTTGTTTAGTAGTTGGTTTTTGTTTACCTGGCCTTTGCACTTATAAAGATTGGGAGTATCAAGTAGAAAAATTACATATGTTTCTAAACAAAAGTATAGAGTCTGTAACTTTGGGTCAACTCAGCTCATCTTCTGTGTTGACAGGTGATGCAGAAAATTGTGAGGAAAAAGGAGTGGATGAATGTTCATCTTCCAGTGAAAACACAGTTATCGATAGATCCTGTGTAGACATGTGGAATCTGTTAATGTATATTTTTACTTAGCTGCACTTGAGGGGCAAAAAAAAAAGCAAAGAAGTCCTGAAACAGTTAGTTCTGCTTGTTGATTTCAGGTTACCGCATGAGATTAGGATCTAGCACAGACAAAAAGGATTCAGGTCGCCTTCATGTTGATTTTGCTCAGGCAAGAGATGACTTTTATGAATGGGAATGCAAACAAAGAATGCTGGCCAGAGAAGAACGCCACAGACGCAAAATGGAAGAAGACAGACTGCGCCCTCCTTCACCTCCGGCAATAATGCATTATTCCGAACACGAAGCTGCTTTGCTGGCTGAAAAATTGAAAGGTAAGCAGCATTTGATACTTTTCCATGTATTATTCCTTAAGAGCAGGAGCCACCCAGAAGTCAGAGCAGGGGAGCTGATTTCTCTCCAATGTATTTCATTACTTGCCCTGTTAGCTTTCTCCCATTCTTCTGCCATTTCGATGCCAACAGTAATGATACTCACCCACCTGCTAGAAATGTATAATGTTTATCCATCTATCTGTGCTTTAACAGCTATAACACAACCTTCAGAATACTACAGGAGGGGTTTTTCTGTTCCGTTGTTCTCATCATATACCTTGGCCATGCTCTTGTAATAAGATAGCTTGTTACAAACATCTTTCATATTAAAGGCCTCATTCTTAAAATGTCTTTGTTCCTTGACTGATATGTTACTACATCACATGCACATGGCTGTGCCAATTTCTGGCATTTAAATTGCCCTCATGAGCTGCATTTTGATGTGCCCCTCAGAGGCAGCCGTTACAACTTATCTCTGACACACACCATCCATTCTTTCACTCCCTCTTTAGGGTTGGAATTTCTTGTGCAAGATACCGTCTTGTTTTGGTATGTGTTTGCTTGCTTATTTGTTTTTTTTTTCTAGGTACACTTAGCAAGTTAATATTTCCAACAGTGCAGCTTGAGGATTCCTGACTTTTAATAGTTAGCATAGAAAGTAAGAAACAAAAAATAAAACATTATTCATGGTTAAGAAATTAAAGATCAAGCAAACAACTCCTTATACCCCTTAGAGTTTTGTTTGTTTTCATTAAGTGTTTAGCAATTGTGTTTGGCATGCTTTTCCCATGTGCTGGCCAAGCACATTACTTTACTGTGTGCCAGGTCACAAGAAACTGTGATTCTTGCCACTGTTTCAGAATTATCCAGATTAGAGTTAGGCTATCTAGCTGTCAACACACTGGCCTCTGTTCTAACTATGAAAGATGTTTGGGAAGCTGAAGAAGGGCAGCACAAAGTGTTGCATCCTTGGAGCATGGAGCAAAGATGCACCCTACTGTCTCTGAGTACTGTATTGATCGCTGTTAGTTGTCACTGTTACCTCGGTCTGTTATTAGTTTGTATGATAAATATTGTCACCACATACACCACTAAATAATTCATTAAATAACTGGGATATTGGTAAAATAACTGAGATGGGTTGATAGAGCAGAAGAAAAAGGAAAGAGACCCAAATATAAGAATTTTTAATTCTTACATAACTTCCAGTCCAGCTCCTCTAGACATTATACAATACAATAGAGAGTATTAGATCCATCTGTTCCCTGAATCTGTTTTCAGTTGAATATATTAGGAGTCAGTCTTTTATAGGGAAGTTTTCCTTTATGTAGTAAGGCCTAGAAGTTTCCTGAACTAAGCCAGAAAATGGAAGAAGTCTGGACAACTTCATCCATATGGCTAGCCGTTGCTTGTGGCAACTGAATGTGGGGATTTGCAAGATATTTAAGATGTCCATATTTAGAAAGGTTATTCTTTTCATTCTGGGAGGTTTCTATGCTTAATTTAAACTTATTCCAAGAATTTAGATCTTAGGTTGTCCTGAGGGACGTTTAACCAGAGCTTGGTGTATAGATGCAAGTTTAATATAGAAACTTTTTTTGCGCAGTATAGACCACCACCACGTACATGACTATTTCTCTGGGAATAAAGATAAACTTTCAGAAATATGCAGAATTAAATATAACAAATTAAGAAACCAAAATGGTAAGTTTATTTTAATTGGTTAAAAAATAATTAAAATGCAGCAAAAAATGATATTGCAATTTTAAAAACTTCACTAATTAGCAATTGCCTGTAGCAAGATTAATGGCACCAGCCCTGGATCTGTACAGACTGTTGGGCATGGAGAATGCAAAGAAGCCCCCTCTCTTCTCACCAATCATGAGTTGTCTCCTGTACTAGGTAAGGTAGAAAGCAGAGGAGGGGTTCAGTCATTGTACCAGTCTGCTTTACTTTTCCGCTGGCATTATGGCCAGTATCTATAAAGCAGTGAGGCAGAACATTATGGCCTCCCTTGGGCAACATGAGTTCACCACATAAGCCCTTTGTGACATCCTAAAAACAGAAGTAAAGCAACAGTAAAGAAACTTCTTTAATTCTGGCAAAGGGTAGTTCATGTCATTATACATTCACAATTCAAATGTGGACTTCAGTGAAGCTGAAGTCCATATACAAAAGATAGGTATTGGTACACACAAACAGGATGTATAAAACTTGGGGTCAAAATCTCAGGTCTCTGGATATCACCAGATTTGCATTGCTGCAAAAGCCTGGTAGATTCATCCTAAAGAAAAGAGGGATCAATATATAACTGCTTTTGGCAGGATTTACCTTAAAAGATTGGGTTTTGAGCTTTGCAGTTGTTTTCTTAAGGAAAGTTATGACCTCTCCACGGTACCCACTTCAAAAGGCTCCTGAGCTCTGTTGCCAGCTCATGAGACAGAGCTGCAGGTGCCCAGTGTGCAGGTTTCAGCTCCTGCAGAGCCTCCAGAAGTTCGCTGAGCAACACTAGCTGAAAAGCAAGCCAAAATAGCTAAACATCTGTCATCCCAAGACACTGCTTTGCAATCACAAATGTAGACAACTTGGTCTGAATCCAAGCAACTTTTGTTGTCAAAATAACCTTGGAAATTCCTGACAGCAAGGAAATCTGACGGTGAGCAGAGATGAACTAGGCTCATCAGCCCATCCCCTGTTGTGGTTTAGATGTTTATTGAGTCTGTAGCAGAGGTGACAATATCTTTTTTCACCTTCTGTAAACTGCAGCATAAGACTAAAAGAAATCATTGAGTCTGTGTACCAGACTTGGCTAGAAACTCTCACCCCAGTGTTCTCAGCATATTCCTATTCCTCTCGTGCTAAATTCACCTGGTACAACAGTAACTGGCATAGAGGAGAGGGGGTGGAAGAGTATAGAGGATCTTTAGTGCCAGTTGGAAACAAAAGTTCATTATAAAATATCAGCCAGGTAGTCTCTACTGGCATGGTGTTTCATGTGAAAAAAGAACTGGTTTCTGAAAATGCACTGCCTGGTGACTGGGGCTGGGAACTCACTGCATATGAGGCCTTGCATACCTAAAAAAGCGTGAAGGTTTATGATTTGGTCTTGGTTCCCTGCTCTCTGTGGACTATCCCAAATCCCTTCATACCTACAGAGAACTTGGTTTGAACACCTGATTTATGAAGGAATAAGGGAAACCCATCAAACTGTGGACCAGTGCAATTTTTCACCACTTTCCATTTTAGAGGATGGTAGACAGTGCTGGTTTATGGGTATTTTCCTTTTCCTTTTCTCTTCCCTTTGCCTTTGCCTTTGCCTTTGCCTGTTTTTCTCCATTAAGGTCCAACAAATAAAATCCTTCGTAACTTTTTCCTTGTTGGCAGTGTGGATGTTTTTCCTGCACCTTTCATGTTGTTAGCCAAGAGCGTATTCACTTTTCTCTAAGTGCCTGTGCTGGCTTTCCTCTCCCTAACCACCCATTGTGCTTTGTTATTGCCACCTTTCACTATGTGACAGTGGCATATTGCCACTATCATGGGTGTAGGTCTCATGAATTTGAGCCCATACTCCAAAAATGTAGGCCTACACTATTAACTCTCATTGATTAAACATATTTTGAGCTGCTCAACATAGATTATTTACTAGTGATGTTCTCTAGCAAGAAGGTGATGTTCTATCAAGAAGGTGATAATTCATTAAAGAGGAAATTTCCTGCAATGAAAAGATGACTTGTCACAAAATACTTGATTTAAATTTGTTTCATGCACTGCCATGAGAGATTTCCATTCTTCATGAGTCCAGCACATAGAAGGCAGAAGGGACCTGAGCCTGGGTTATCAGAATGAAATGAGCCCTGACATTCAAACTAGATAGGTAACATGGGAAAGAACGTGAGCTCCTTTTCATACCAGGGCTATGCAGGTCAGTTTTAGGTTTGTACCACACATTTTAGGTTTGCACCACACATTTTAGGTTTGCAAGCTGGCTGGGAAAACGAAACTATGATTTAATTTTGCACAAGTTATTTTGGTTTGGATTTTTGGTTTGGTTTGGGTTGGGTTTTTTTTTTTTACTTTCCAAACCACTAAAGCAGATTTGAAAGGAGAAAGTAAAATAAAGAATAGGCCCCGTTTGTTTAAAATGGTAAAACGTCACATTTTCAAAAGGTGGTTTTCAAATCCACGTTTTGATCCAAATATTCCAAAATGTGTCATGCCATTGCAAATAGTTTCATCAAACCATTATCTGATTGGCATGGAACAAGATAGCAGCTAAGCATAACTTAGGTTAATGAAACTTAGGGCCTCTTTCTGACAACTCCTGTCTTTGGTAAAAATCTGTATTTCTTTGAGGAAATATCTTAATAAATTCATGGATGTGAATTCTGGGAAACCAAGGTCTTTTACAGTGAAGTGTAAATGTGAACTGCCTCCTTAAATAGCCTTTGAGAATAGACCCTAAGTTCTTGTTCTGACAAAACCAGCAGAATATTGTGTCTTCTGCTATTACATTACAAAAATGCAACCTTGTTGTCTTCTGGTTCGTTGCAGCATTTTGCTTGGTGTGTGTCTTTGAGATTTTAATTCTGCAGCATTAAATCAGATGTGTTATTACTGCACAGTGAGATGTGTTAGTAGGTATTTAGAATCAAATTTGCATACTCTGACATCTGTTTTCCTGGGTGCTTTATAAACGGTTGAGTAATGTGGTGCCCAGAACATCACACAACTGGAGATAGTCTGAACCTTTTATCCTTAAGTGGAACGCTGCTCTGTCAGGTGCATTGAAACAAAACATTTTAATCTGCGTGTTTATGACATTTGTGTTTCAAAGCAGAATTTCAAACATTACGGTTTTCCTAATTCAAGCATATCTGTACCTAATAGTATCATCTTCAGAAATCACGTCTTGCAAATAAGCTCCTTTAAAATGCTACATCTGTCTTATTTGCTTCAGGTAGCTAAATAGTTTCACCATCTAACAAAGACGTCTCATTATA